TTTTTTTTTTTTTTTTTTTTTTTTTTTCATCGGACGGCTTTCTCCATTATCGGCTAGTAGTGCCAAGTGGGACCAACCAGATTTTCCTCAAAATTTTCCGCTTTTTATTTTTCAATCTCCATATATTTTCCCTTTTTTCATGAAACAATAATTATTTATTCTGTATGTATATATATATATATATATATATAAGAAAATGAAATAAAATATAATTATACAAAAAGGGATTAGATATTAAACTTTCACATTTAAATGAACTAAATTAAAATAAAATCCATTGATGATATAAAAAATACATATTTATAGATACAGTTTTAAAAATAAATAAATCTAATTATACTTGTAATCAATTATATCGATTACGTTTTTATATCTCATTAAATATTTCTAAGCTTTTATTTTGCAAAAAATTGCAGCACATGTATATAATGGTATGTTTTCATATAAGATATAGTTTTTACGTGCTATGATATACTGGCTTGGATTGCGCGTATTCGAGGTGAACAATAGAGTTATCATTTATAGACAACATACTAATATTATTATTTTAATATCCTCCCATAACAAATATTTGGACTACTTTGAAAAATATTTTTTTAAAAAAATAAGATTGGAATCTTTTTATATTTGAACTGAAGTGGCTATCACTTTGATGGTGCGACATTTCAGCCGTTAGTCACCATGATTCTGTGTACGTATCAAATAAGTCTGAAAAAAATACGAATTTTTACAATAAATAAACCGATTTATGAAATATATGTGTAGTTTATAGTATATTAATACACACACACATATATATATATATATTATCATTATATTCGTATCTTCGTCACATGGAGGGAGAATTCGCCTCATAAAGGCACCGAAGAATAAACTATGCTATAAATTTCATGGCAATTAATCAACGAGATAAATTAATTTTACACATCTCGATCGATAATTTAATTTAATATGCTATAAATTTTCGTGTAGCTATTTTACAAAGAACAAAAATAAATGCAATGAAAACTAAGGGAGGAATTAAACCAGTTGGTTATATAAATATCAAATAAGCATATGGGTGGATATAGTAATTAAGAAAAAGTATTAGTAAGAATTAAATTGGTCTTAACAAAAATTGTAATCCTAATTTTATATATATATATATATATATATATATATATATATTCTAAAAATCGTACGTTAAATAATATTATAAAACATTATATAAAAATATAGAGAGAATATATTTGGCCTAGTTTTAAATACTTTATAGCTTTCATATATTTACATATATCATAACCCATCAATTATCAATCTTCCAATATTTTCATACTAATTAACAAATTAGCCATTACAATAATTTTTATTATGTTTTATCATTACTAAATCTAGTAAAGTAAACTATATTGTTTATGATTGTTGGCATTAATTAAATTACAATGCCCAAAATCTAATCTAAAATTTATACGATTCGTATCTTAGTACAAATCCACGGATCAATGGAAAATATG